TGGGTGATTTCAAGGAAAACAAAATATTGCGAGGAATTTGTTTTGATTTTTTTTGATTTTTTGAGAATAGACCCTGTTCTTTTTGGATGATGTGTTTTGGCGGTGATAGGGACGGGATAGGGATGGGGTGAGGAATAGCAGGGATGTTTGAAAGTTTGGAGGGGAGGTTGGTTTGAAGAGAGTGTGAAGTTTCTTTGATAAGTGATGTTGAACGCCTCTCTGGTTTTGCTGAGAAAGGTTTGAGACAAATGGATTCTTTAATCGTTGATTCTGTCCATCTGATAGATATATCTCGAGAGGTACTGGTAGGTAGGGAGTAGAATGCGGTGCTAGATCAGATAAACCCCAATAATAAATAAACCTCATTAAAAAAGAAATCGAAGATATACTCGGTATCTGACAAGCGATTCATATCCACCAGCCATATAATAAACAAACTTTTTATTTACATACGTTCTGGCCCATATATCCATCCATCCATCCATCATAATAAAATAATATAATAAGTTGTTTGGAATCTTGACCTCCCACCCTGGTTCATGTTGCTGGTCAATTCTCGTTGCCGGGTCAGAATAATTACTATAAACAGACTAGTAAATTGTTATTGATCGTTAACATTCACCATACATACAAATCCATAAGAATTCCTAACAATAATTTTGGAAATCCTTCTTCTACTTAAACTTTTCCCTTCGGATTGTCATTGAGATTTCTGTTTTCATTCGTCTCTTTTATGAAAAGGAAAGATATCTTTTATTGATTCCGTCGCCGTTAAAAAAATCTTATACACATCAGCTCTTGCGCAGGAGTGTTTACTTGTTTTTCTTTGGGAAGTCAACAACAACAATATAAACTTTGCGCCTATCGTACCAGGTACCATCTCACCATCTTGACCTCGAGTATTCACCACAACCATCGCACTTGCCTACGAGATCAATACCCCCTTCATCACGACATATTTACACGCTCGAGCTTCGCGACTGCCAGAATAGCTTGGTGCCTTTGTGTGCCTCATTCCACGATGCCTCCTTCCTCTCAATTGAAGTACGGCCAAATCATCGAGTACATCCCAGGTATGTTACTTTACTTACAAGATCATCAAAACATCATTCACTGCGCGACTCGATCCATTGAACATCTTCGGCCCAGTATCGTTATATTATAGATATCATGCATCCAATGGACTATAATTCTATGCTCGAGTGGGCAACATTACTACCCAATGATAAATATACTGGCGCCAGCGCAAAGAAGGGTCCAAAAGAACCTCGAGAAGAGGACAGACCGTTTCACTGGCTAACATACACAGACCGATTGTATTTGGCATCTTACACTACACCTCCCTCACCCGATACGCTCTTCCCGTACCCTGAGCAACAGAGCTCTCGACGATCTCCGACAAAGCGGTCAGCGAGAGCTGCAGATGGACCTTCAGTCGTTTCCGACAAAAGAGAACCCCCTCATTATTTCTCCGTTGACGATACCCTCCTCTACAATGCCTTTCACCATGACTTTGGACCATTACACATTGGACATCTCTACAGGTTCGCGGTTCAATTTCACGACATCCTTGGCGCTCCAGAAAATAAGAACAAACCTGTCGTGTTCTGGAGTAAAGCGGATGCGCGTAGTAAGCTACTGTTTCATAAAAGTTTGCTGGTTGAAAAAAACTAATCGAGTGACTTAGGTCGAGCCAACGCTGCATGTCTCCTAGCCACGTATATGGTCTTGATCCAATCATGGGCACCACATCTCGCGCTTGCGCCAATCGCTCAAGCAGACCCACCTTTGATGCCTTTCCGCGATGCAGGATACAGTCAAGCAGATTATGGCATTACAGTTCAAGACGTTGTGTATGGTGTCTGGCGCGCAAAGGAACAAGGGTTCTGCGCGTTGCCGCAATTCGATCTCGAGGAGTATGAAAGATATGAGCGCGTGGACCAGGGTGATTTCAATTGGTTGACCCCCGATTTCCTTGCATTTGCTTCCCCACAACATCACCCGGTGCAACCAATACTTCCTTCTTCTCCACTGTACGCGAGTTTGCCAACAACATTGGAAGACGTGGATACCCACCCAACCTTACCCACACCTTTCAAAAATGTTTTGAAGCATTTCACATCACGAAACATTGGCTTAGTGGTTCGTTTGAACTCGGAATTGTACTCTCCATCTTTTTTCACGGCGCTGGGTATTGAACATTTGGACATGATCTTTGATGATGGCACGTGTCCACCACTTAGTGTTGTCCGAAAGTTCATTACTTTGGCACATGAGATGATTACTGTTCAGAAGAGAGGCATTGCTGTGCATTGCAAAGCTGGACTTGGACGAACTGGATGTTTGATTGGAGCATATTTAATCTACCGATATGGATTCACTGCCAACGAGATCATTGCGTATATGCGCTTCATGAGACCGGGAATGGTGGTTGGTCCTCAACAGCATTGGCTTCATCTTAACCAAGGAACTTTCCGAGAGTGGTGGATTGAAGAGCAATTTGAGATCAGAATGAAGGAGAAGCTCGCCAATATGGCTCCAGTCACCCCAAGAAAGGGACATTTCACAACCAAGAGTCAAGTCGTTACTCCTCCAAATGGCAACCAAAGAACCCCACTTGGTGAAGTAGACAATGAGAGAAGCCATAGCATTGGAGCTCAGGAGGATTACTTGCCGGCACCAACTCCAGGTCAACCAAGAAAGACAGGCAGAGCTGACCGACACCACCCATATGGGCGTCATGCTTCGGCGTACTCCGAAGATGATAGCGCACATCGTGAAACGGAAGTCATCTCGATTCATCGGTCATCAACTGATACCAATGAATCTGAAGAGGAATGGCAACTCCGCATGCGTACCCGTAAATCATCTAGATCTCCAGCCCGAAGCGAGAGGTCAGCGAGATCTATAAGTCAGACCACCACGACAATCTACACATCCATCGATGACAGTAGCTACGACGTTGAGAACATTGGTGTCGGAGCTAGACCTAAGACACCATCCACCGTCAAATCCGGCAGTGGCTCACTTGGAAAGGTTCGCGGCAGCCCTAAGCGTAGTGGTGACAGTCTTCGGAATAAAGAAACTTCTGGGGCAGTTCGCAAAACGAGTGGGAGAGTTGGCAGTGTTACCACTCGCAAAGTCTCCGGCATGTAAATGATTCATGATTTCAAAATCAATTCCTGTACTGTATAGTACCTTCGGCATGCATTTTAGAATTCTGGCGTCTATGTTGTCGTTGTAGCATATATGAAGCAAATGCGGAAAGGGTGTGTGGCGTTATCAAATTAAACTTTGTCATTTGCTAGTGCAGATGTTGAGCATAGTGTCAGGCTTGTTTGGTCTCTTTTTGGCATTTACAACTGCTTGTTTTGTCTATTGGATGGAGTTACATGCGAGGTTTTGTTCATCTTTTCCCACGTCTATCTTGGACTTTAATGGCGAGGGTGACAATGGGTTGGATAGGTATATTGAAAGTGGCGCGTGGTGAGGGGTAACGTGGGAGCTGGTGGGGAAAGGGTGGCTTTTCTAGAAATCTCTTGCTTTAGGATTGGGTCTGGGTTTGGGGTTTGGAGTGGCATTTGTCTATTAGCTGTCTTGATTGGTTGTTTATTCTTGTTACAAAGCTATTACGAGATCATGAGAGTTGAGAATGGTATGGTTCTGTCTATGCCTGATTATATGTGAGTAGCCCGGGCTACTTGCTATATAATATACATACGTACGTTAGTACTATACATGGTAGAATTAAATTCAATCATTATGAAGAACACAAATATGATTGAGTGATTAAGTGGGTGAGTGTTAAATTTATAATCCGTGAGATGTTAATGGTAAATGATCTGGCGTGGATTATCTTGAGTTTCATTGTATCGATGACAGATTGTTAAGCACTTTTGTTGAGAATATTGTATGTCTTGGTATATAGTTTATTTGTTTCAGGTTAATAAGTTTATTATTTACTGTCCAATAAGTCCAAGTAGACGCACTGGCTTCTTAGCATTCTAGATTAGTGTTTTTTTTTTTTTTTTTTTGCCAGAAAAGAGGAGATGTTGACCAAAGTGATAGACTGTTGGTGTGTATCATCTGGGAGTTGGATGAATGAGTCAGAGGTGGCTGTGAAGCTGCGGAGCTGGTTCTTTTGATTTCGATGTCTGATTTCGATGTTTGATTTCGATGTTTTGATGTCTTGGAATGATGGATGATTAATGGTATGTTGAAGGAAAGGAGGAAGGGGAATTTAGTGGTGGATGGGTAGATGGATGTTATTGTATTGTACTGTAGTGTAGGTATTGTTTGAAATTGAGGGGAGCTTCTCGTGAAGGGAGTTAGGAGTCGGGAGGGTGTGTAGTTGTTGCGGTGTTGCGGTTTTGGGAGGGGAAGGGAGAGGGAGAAGGGGGGAAGAGGGGAGGGGAGAGGGGAGGGGAGATATGTTGTAATGATATTTGTTATTTTGGGTTGTGGATATAGTAGGCAGTTGAAGTTTGGGGTGTGGTAATTTTGTACGTTTGTTGTATCGAAGCAAGATGTGCGAGGGGGAATCAACATTAATGCCACTTGAACGCTTCATGCCTTGTTTCATCTTGCGCAACTGTAGAATACCTAGGACCTTGGAATAAAGCCACTCCACGTGATTGCGTTTGAGAGTATGCAGGTCGGGCAACTAGTGCGATTAAGTCTTTTGAGGAGCTGGAGCTTGGGAAGTGCTTCTGAATCTCTCTTTTCTTTTTAATCCTTCTCGGGGTAGGAATTTGTTAGTTGATGATTAGATGGGCTTTTATTCATCTTCTTTGGTTTTCTTCTTCGATGTTTGTTTTACTCCTCGAAGCTTGTTTGGCTCTTTCTCATCCTGCGATTTTGAATCCGAAACACCAAGCATGGTTACACCGCATATTGACAATTCCTTGCATCTTGAGCTACCAACTTCTCTCCATATCCTCTAGTCACCAAGTTCCAAACTCAACCCAACGAAAGCTTTCCCTCTATCCGCCACCAAAAGAATGTCATCCACTCCATCAACAGCCCAATACGATGCCATCGGCTCTCGCTACGCTGCTATCAAAAACCAGCCAGGCTCCTCTTTCGAACTAGCAGCCATCCAGACACACATTGGAAATATCACCGGTCTCCGCATCCTCGACCTCGCTTGCGGCACCGGATATTACACACAAAAGCTCTTGGAGTGGGGCGCGGAACGCGTAGTGGGTATTGATATTTCTCCGGCGATGATAGCATCCGCACGCATTCAATGCGGAGGAGGAGGAGACGCGGATACAAACAGCGATAATCCGAAAATTGCTTTCCGCGTCGCAGATTGCAGCACGCCGCTCGAGAATCTCGGCGAGAAATTCCATCTCGTGCTCGCCGTCTGGTTGCTGAACTATGCGTCTGGGCGACGGGAACTCGGAGCCATGTGGCGCAATATTTGTGCGCATCTAGAGCCCGGTGGGAGGTGTGTAGGGATCGTGCCGAATTTTGAGAGTTTGCGTGAGGGGAGCGGTGGGGGGGGTCGCGGTATGGTGTTTCGAGGAAAATCGTGTGTAGGGTGGAGGGGGGTGCGAAGGTGAGGATTTCTGTGGATGCGCGGGAGGGGGAGGAGGGGGAGGAGGAGGAGGAGGGGAAGGGGAAGGGGAAGGGAAATCCGCTGGTTTTTGAGGCGTATGTGTGGGAGAGGGAAATGTATGAGGAGTGTGCTAGGGAAGCGGGGATGGGGGAGCTGAAGTGGGTGGAGTTTGTGGATCCTTTGGTGGAGGGGTTGGATTTTGAGGAGTTTTTGAATGTGCCGCATTTTCAGTGCTTTGTTGCTTTGAAACCGAGAGAATGAGAGGGCTGGGTTTTGGTGGTTGGTTGAGTGGTTTATTGTGGGAGGAGTGGGAGGATTGGGAGAATTGGTGATATGATAACGGCTGGGCGAAGGGAGGAAATTGGAGCAATGAAGCGAGTGCTAGTTATACATTTGTCGAGAACACTTTAGCTCAATGACACGAGGAACTTTTCTTTTATACTATGAGTTGATAAATACAATTTCTCTTATTCTATCATGTTAAAACCGTTAATTGAATTCGTCTTGTGCGATTAGCTGCGCCCTAAAGACTTTTAAATTTGTCCTTGAATACACATTAAATTCGGGATCGCCTATCGAATAGTACGACATCCTAGTAGATAAAGTCGCAATTGTTAGAACCCTCTGAAGATTCCACCCATGCACTGATATATAATCTCATAAGGAATATTCGACAAAGAGACCAAAGCTATACTTGCTTCTTTCCTGGCCAAGCCTATAATCCAGCTGGCTCGCAATCTGTCATATATATAATATATGATATCATCAGACGAGCTTGCTGAAGATCCCTATCTTCAGACAATCAATTACTCCATCTTTCGCTTAGATACCCCTTATGAACTAATTCCCCAATCCATCTCCATTATCTCTTCTTCGGCGAGCCAAGTGACACAGAGAATTTTTCATTTTTTCTGACTCCTTTGTTGGCTTATATACTGAAGCTCCATGATCCGTCTCAGGAACTTTGAAGATGTTTATGACTTGTTCAAAAATGTATCATTGAGTGAGGATTACCGTAATTGTCGCGAAATTTAGAGGAAATCTATCCAGACTTGGAGTTCTGGCAGCTCCATCTGAATTTTTGTTTGTCTGATGAGGTTTATTCGTCGGTGTTAGGTGTGGATAATCGATTGTATGGTGTGCGTCAGCGGATGTTTGAGAGTTTGTGGACAAATTGAGACGAGAACAAGAAAACCGTATGGAAGGAGACGATTGATAGGCTTCTCAGCCCAAAATCCACCGACTCGCTTGATTAGCCCGTCACCATATCATAGCCTCATAGTTAATGGAATCACGATAACAATGAATCTCTTCCCGCAATTACTTTCACGTCGCATCAACACCCCAAGCCTGGAGTAGCGTTGGCTCCAATACAGCCCTATAAGCGACCAAGGCCGATACAACAGCTAGTCGTTTTTGTAATTTATCAAACCCTTCCTGATCACTTGCCGATAGATGTTCCTGCAAATAATCCTGCGCCGCCGTTCGATAGCTGCGTCCATTTGGGGCTCTGCAATTCACATGGGCTCCGTGTTGAAGTAGAATGGCAACACAGTCACAATAACCTTTGCGTATCGCGTGATATAATGCAGTGTGGCCATCTCGATCCTTTTGATAGATATTAGCACCACTCTGGCAAAGTAATTCGACAATTGCTTTGGTGGCGGATTCATTTGTGGGAGAAGTAGGTTCGATGATGGCTGCGAGAAGTGGTGTTCCACCGGCTTGATCATAATGATTGATGTCTGCTCCGAAAAATATGTATTGCTTTAGCTTATCGAGGGTTCTTTCGGTATCTTCCAGAGTACAAGTTCCGGGTGGTAGGACTAAGCAATGGAGGGCATTGCTACCCTTACTATCCTCGGTATTTGGAACAGAATCCGCCACGTTGGGGTTGGAATTTCTAAGAACCGCAATACGGTTTTGCGTCTCCTCAATAGAGTTACCAGGGATTTCAGTCTGTGTAATGAATCGATTGGCGATATTTTCGTAGACTACTATAGCTTGCGCGTAGCCGACATGGCCATATGATGCATAAGGATTTTGAGCTTGAGCAACATTTCGTATATGTTGTGCTGCTGTCAGACCTTGATTGTCCCGAAGCGAGAATTGTATTACTCTTTCGGGTCCGTAGAAATCTACTAGGTCATGATACACATGAGGCAGTATTGGATTTCGAAGAAGACCATGCAGCACCGTTCGACCATTATGATCACGTTGCTCTAGTAAACCGCTATCTTTGAACATCTCAAGGAAGTTAATCAAATCATCACTAAAACGGCTGGCGTCCAAAACATGTAAGAAGCTCTGGCCAATAGTGTTTAATCGTCCTGGGTCAATGCCAGACGCAATCATGTATTCAAGGACATCCTTTCGCCCAGCTGCTGCAACATAGTGGAGTGGAGTATTCCCTGCCCCATCAATCTTGTCTTTGTTGAAGACATGTCCTAGTATTGTGAGAATTTGATGGTCAGGTAAATCGATCATGCAGAGGCAAACAGCATGGACTTGAGTGACCCCACATTCGCATACAGTTCTCTTGCCGAGTGCAATATCCATGTGATCATTTCTGCAAGGAATCATGTGTAGTATAGATGATCGGCGTGGAGAATCTAGCTTCTGTCGTAGAAGAGAGTTCATTTCATTCGATGGAATCATGGAGTTAGCATCGAAGAGTTGGTAATACGCTTGATCCGGACTATCAGGTCTAGGGTCAACCATGTCAAAGTCTCCATCAACAGAGGCCTCCTGTTCCTCTTGTATGTCATCATCTATTTCTTGATATCCTAAGAGTTTCTCTACCACTTCCATCGAGTAATAGCCAGAATCGGAATCAGATTTGACTGACGAGATTGGTGCAGTTAACACGCTGAGGTTGATATATACAGGGGAGATATCGTTATCGTTTTGAGTTTCGGCCCAGCCAATGATTTCCTGTGAGATGAATGAACTTGCCGAAGAAGGCAAGCAAGTGTCCATTGGAATTTGCCCATTGGTAAATTCGTCAAAATTTCTCGGCGAAACACTATCCAATTGGGAAGTATGGTCCAGAATTGTAGAGCCTTGTGGTATAATGGATTTCGACGCTTTGTGGTCAAGTGGTTCTATGAAATCGGTTATTGTCTTTCCTTTAGTCGTGCCAAGAGTTGGAGAATCTCCAAATCCAAATGGTGTGTTGAATACATTGAGGTGGATATGACTGGGGCAAGCAACTGTTTCTATATTCGATAGGTCAGATACTTCCGATAGACCATTCTGAAGGTCGAGTTGAATTTTTCTCTCCCAAGCTGCTGCTTCCTCTCGCAATCGACTCAAAAATATCTGTCTGGAATGTGGATTAAGAGGGTAGCCCCACGCCTCTAATCTGTTATCACAAGTTCGCGGTCTGTTATAGTATACATTAACTAATTATCGTGTGAGACCTCAGTTATTGTACTTACGATTGACTTGAGAACCGGTAGCCTGTGGCAGTGATCTCTCGTAATATGCCTGCGGAGCTAAAATTTCGCATGCAGTAGAAGAAGATATCACGTTTGTGTGCTTCCCATTCGTGATGCTTCCGAACCTCAGAGAGTTTCAAGAGTTTTCCGTGAATGGTGTTTGGTTTGCTGATACGTTTTCGTTCTTCGCGTTCCTCGTAACATGCTTGTAGAAACTCTTGTCCGTGAATGGTCTGTAAAAAGGCAAAACAGCGCTCGCACTCCTCCGGTGAGATATCGGACGATTCGGCATTGGGGGTAGACATGCTGACTCAATGGGTCCCTTGAACCCCTCCGAAGTACAAGGAAATCAAAAGGTCGCAAGATTGTCATAAGAAACTCAAAATCTGTGGTACTAGTCGTGTTCGCAATGTTCGACAAGAAGCTAACTAAATCTCTTCTGAAAGAGAGTGGTCTAGTCGCAAGTAGCTCATGGAATATACATAAGTGGAAAGTATCACCAAAGATTTCCCAATTGCCCGTATAGACCAATGACTTATCCAGAGAATTCAGGCTGGATTGGAAATCCTACCATGAACATTGAGTTGCAGAAGGAGAGGAGTATTGCCACCAAGCCTTATGAGTGACAAGGCGGGACTTGGATTCCATCCAAACCTCCCCGAGCTTGGATAATGATTACAAAGTACATAGGATGTGCTCGAAAAGTTAAATTATATACAATGAAATCGACACCGGTTGCGATAGCAAAATGTCATTGAAGTATAGAGAACGAATGCTGAGATAGCAGCAGCACAATGAGAAAAATGATGAGGAGTGATGAGCATATCAAAACATTGCGAATGCACCGCTGCGTGATAGACAGGCATTTCAATCCTGTTCTAATGTTTATCTGTTTCTGAGGGCTTGCATTGTGAACTTGTAGTGGCATTGGCCTTGGCTAAGGCTCATTCAGCCACTGAGTTGCATTCAGGCGAATTGCGAACTTGCGAGCAGGGGGGTTTGGGAAAATTCATCGTATAGAAAAGATGTACGGAGCAAAGAGCCACAAGCTGGGCTCGTTTATCTAGACTAGCTGGAGGTAGTTGGTACAACTCAGACTCTTCAGTGATTACATAATATTAGCAGGCTTTTGGCCTTGATTTCAAGGTATGACTCACTTGCTTATTAATAATGGGGTAAGTCAGACTGATGGTGCTGTGGCTCTAAGATTGAAGAAAGCGAGAAACACCGGTAAGTGTCGATGACGCTCCACCGTCAAGCTTACCTAGGTAATCCATGGATCCCTTTTAGAAAGCCCCATGTAAGGGATACTTCAAGTTAGGGTGGGGCATTTACAACATCCAGCCACTAAGTAAGCTCTGAAGGTCTTGTCGGCGCAATGACAGTCTGTGGGCAATGTTGAAATCGTTATTCAGGAATCAAAATCTCCTCGTAGAACAATTTCGACAACCTGCTTGACCACTAAAACACCATGCTGTGTGTCTAAACCTTATGTTATGGCGGCACCAGTTAACAGCCGCGATAATCCAATTCAAAGTCAACCGATGAAGCGCAAGAGAGCTCGGGCTTCAAGAGTACGTTCTGGATGTAAAACGTGGTCGGTTCCGTTCTCTTCCGGATTCATTCCAATCAAGTTGTTCACCGAGATCCGTGACTAACATCTCATGTAACAGCAAGTGAGTAACCCGAAGGATTTGGACATGCTCTCAGGGACTCTGACATTATCTGTCCATCAAGAAAACGCCATCTTAAATGCGACGAGGCAAAACCGACATGCCACCGTTGCTGTCAAGACCGGGTCAATTGCGATGGCTATGACCTCTTGCGCCAGACGAGTGTGACCCATCATGAAGGACATCCAGAGTATAACACAATACAACTTGTCCAGCCCATACAGTCACTGCTCACAGATATAAACATCCAAGATCTATATTTCAATCATGCTGTTCAATATACGATCCAGGATTTGTCCGATTCGACGACAAGCACAAGTTTCTGGGTCGACTTCCTCCCCCGGTCATTATCGCAGATTGCAGCAACACGCTATGCCTTAATAGCATTAGCAGCTGCTCATATTGATTTCCTAACACAAAAGACATTCAATTGCAGCTTTGCAGCTGCAACCAAGCACGAACGATCTGCTATACTGCACTATAATATGGCAATTCGACATTTGCAACCTCTTATGTCCAAGGCGACACCAGAAGATGCTGAGGCCGCTCTAGCTTGTTGTATCTTGTTCATATGCCTTGGAAATATTCGAGGACGATATGCTGAATCACTTAAGCACTTACAATCGGGAGTTGGCTTGCTTGTGTCTTTGTTGGTTCCCGATTCGAAGCGTCGCTCTTGGACATCCCGAAAAGGTCGTCTTCCAGTGGCGTTGCACCAAGCAATATCATCTACAGGCCAAAATAAGCGTACTATAGATCATATCGCTGTGTTATTCTCCCGCCTTAGTCTGGAGACGCATATTCTCACAGACAGTGAAGTGGTTCCACTCATAACCATCTCACGTGCAAGTCCGGACCTTGGCCAACTCGAGTTACAGTCACTTACGCCTATCATGACATTGGATGCTGCTAGAGGCGAGCTTCATTCATTTGAGATTGCCCATGATATGTTTTATCAACAAGCGTACAGTAATATTAAAAGCAGGCCATCTCATATTGATACACGATCTAATCAGCAGCCTGAGTACTTGTTGAATCTGTTTAGCTGGGATGAAAAAGTTGCTTATCAACAGTTATACCAACAATTTTGGCAATGGAGCGCCCGTTTCGACCAGTATATCCTCGAACACGCTTCTTGTCCAAGATCGTCTAAGGATTTATCCGACGCATCCAAGATACGTCTTCTGCAAAAGACATGGACTGCTATGCTAGACAAAGAGCCGTGGACATTCAGCGGCCAAAACTTCCCTGCATTCGGCGTCTTGGACGAGTTCCTACCTGAAGTCGAATCGATCATCAAATTAAGGGGTTCTTCCTCACGGCCTCTCATCACATTTGGCGCCGACATTGTACCCTATATAACGATTGCTGGATATTTAACGGATGATTTGGGATTGCTGCAGCGAATTATCAGCGCCCTTAAGCTGCTTGATAGGAGGGAAGGATTGTGGGATAGCAACGATATTGCTGAGATCTTTGAGGCCTCTATCATAGCACATGCGGACCTTGGATTGGATATCAGACATAATAGTAAGGGCATTCTTCACATGGCCAAAAAGCTTTGGGAGATGAATATCTCATGTATCTCGCCGAATAACTCGATCGTTTTACTAGCTAGAAATATCGAACCATGAAGGTGACTTCACAACAAGGATACCAAACACACAATAGCAAAAGAATAAAAGACTAGAAGTTGATACAAGTTCATGGTTCGTGACACCTACCTCCACTTCGCCATACCATGCTGTCCAAGGTTTATTAAATTCAATGAGAACCCTTGAAAAGTGTATGTAAAAGTAATGTAAATCACCAGTGATGCCACCAGAATAGATACAATTGAGGCAGCACTCTGTGCGTTGGCTGCAGCGCTTTCGAAATTTGTCCTATTCTCTGTTACTAAAGGGGTTTCGAAAGCAGTAGCAAGCTCTGATCTATCATCAATTTCCTTTGAAATAGAAGTCGTGATTTACTTTACAGAAAGTCTCAGCATGGTTGTGAGTAGAAAGGACCTGTTCAAAAATACTAGCATCTTCAACATGGAAGTATTTTAAATCTTGCTTTGTGATTGGTGCATCCGTAAATTTCTCAAAACGGTTAAGCCCGCACGTGGCTCAGTCCCTATAAGTGGAGTTCCGTGATATCGGCATTGGCAGCGGCATTGGCATCGGCTAAAACTACTCAAGCTCCACCTCAAGTCAAACTTTCTGCTTCTAATTGGTGCCGTCGTAGATTTACCAAAACGGTTACTGTGAGATTCCACCTTATGTCGCGCAGAGGCTTGGACAATGATTGTTAACGCTTCTCGCCAGGAGTCATTTTCTTGCTTTAGTGGGCAATGCAAGGTACATTCAATTAGCCATTGACACTGGGCATGCATAGATCAGATGAGTACTAGGAATGGCTGTTTACTGGTTTTGATTTGATTTGTTCTGTTGCTTCTAGAATGGAAATTTTCGAAGCCAAGTGGAAGAGAGGCAGAAAAAAAGACAGCTTGACGTACTACAAAGTCGTAGATCATCATTTGTCCTTGCGCCCTTTCATATTGCATATGCGATAATGTATAAGGGCACCTAGACTCTCAGAAATATGGTAGGATTATGAAGCTGGCTCAAGGACCACAACTGGAAACTCCTTTCTTTAGTCACTATGTTGTAAAGCTCGGCATCAAGGAGCACTTCACTTGGCGCATGAAAATTGTTTTAAAATATCAGGAAGACAACCTGTTTTGAGGCAAGCACCTTGCTCACTAACTCGAGGCAATAACGGTTGGCCTTTTTTTCATCGGGCTCCCCATTACCTATGATGTCTTGGTGCTACCTGTTAGTGCAGTTTATTGTGTTGATGCAACCTCTAGTGTTTTCCGCAAGCCACAATGCATTGTCTCTTGGCAGATGCCCAAAATATACATTTAGAGCTCGATCGCAAAACACGATGGAATAGCTAGAATAGCTTATATACAGAAACCCACCAAAATCTCGTATGTCATTAGGCAATACGAATACAAAAGAGAGGAAGGGAGTAGTACATAATTTAAGAAATAAATCGGGCATTCTCAGAATCTCTCGCTTTGCAATTCTGTCGATTTCCTGCTTTTTTTGTTCAAGCATGAGTTTAAGCACTATCAGGCTCGACCCTTGGGGTGATCTCACTCTTCGAATCGGCCCAGACGGCGCAACAGACGACTACATTGTCTGTCCGAGAACACTAGCCCGTGCTTCCCCAGTATTCGAGCGTATGCTGTATGGCGGGTTTGCGGAACGAGAGCCCAGCACAAGGGCAGCAGTCGGTGAATGGATCGTACGACTACCAGAAGGCAATCCCATAACCATGGGCCTTTTCCTTTCGATAATACATGGCAATTACGATGAGACTTTACAGAACCTTTCTCTTGATGAGATCTATCACTTAACCGTCGTAGTGCACCATTATGATGCAACCAAAGTACTTCGAACATGGGCAGAAATCTGGATCAACCATATCGCCAGTTTTGTTGAAGATGTTAACACGCCGATGCTGAGGGTCTTATGGATTGCGTGGGAACTTGGTAGTATATCGTTATTCCGGATCGTATCGCGTCACATCTTGCTGGAGTTCGACGCTGCAGACTTTGAGGATGCATTATCCTGTAGCAGCACGCAAACACCTCCTGGTGTACTAGGTACGTCTTAAAGAACTCCCATTGATGCCAGTATGAAGAACTAAAGTACTGATCCATTGGCAAGAACATATTCACTCTGTTCGAGAAAATGTACTGTGCTCGTTGCTACAGCCATTCAGGGACTTGATTAGCCACCTACTAGTTGAGAATGAGAAGCCACGATGGTGTCGACACGCTGTTTGGATGGGACCGCATAGGTGCGAATCGATAATCCTCGGGTCGCTTACATGGTGTTTCTGTAAATCGAAACTCTGGCCACTACCAGAAGCACCTGATATCTATGAGAGTGTTGCAGCAATTTACACACGCTTGTCAGGCCTCATAATCCACGATTTGGTGCAATTTGATAAGAAAGAAGATCATAGTATCTGCAATCCGTCAGGAATGATCAATTTGCACATGAAAACAGCCCTTACTTGTCTTACCCTCCCATTGACTCGAAGGCAGATAGAGTACATGAGGAAACAAAAAAACATACTTGACATGAAGGTTGGTTGTTTCAAACCACTCCTGAGTGATAAGTCTGCAGCATAAATCCCCTACACAAGTTAGTTATAGAAATCCAATCCAATCAAGAGCATGTTATCAAAAGAAGATATTTTGGCCCACTTGAATCTACATCTACCTGAAAAAGCTAGTCTACGCCGTTACATTGATTGGCGTGATCTACTTCTCTTGCTAGCCACTTAACAAGGCTTTAAATCATAACTTGCGCTTTTCCCAAACCGCTTAGCTTTTTGTCCCTGTCAAAGTAAAGGCTATACATTTCTCCTGACTCCACATTCTTTTCTTAGCCCAGCTAAACTTGCGGCAGCTCCACCTAGTCCGCATAGCACCATTATGCGACCTAGTAATTATGAGGTAGGCTCTAGCTAGGACCCATTGCTTACGTATTTCGTAACTGCATTTTCTAAGAGAAATATTTAAGAATGCCCATGAATGGGTCTTCTTAAGAAACCTTTAATATGCCGATGCGATCTAAGCCTCAATGCCTTCATGAATTGTCTTAAACGCAAACTGTTGTGATACGAGTGAATGTGCACACGTGAGTGCGCTAGAGCATGAGCGTATTGCATATAGGTACCTATCGTGACTCTGAACCTAGAACAAACACACAATATCAGTCAATGCATCAAACACATTATAAAGACGTCATAATCACCACCGAGGTGATACCAACACAAAAGCATCTTAAAGGGGTCAGCTTGACTATTTAGCTGATTGATTGATTGATTGATTTTATTAATGTTCATCTTCAGTCCAAGACTATATAGGATAGCTAGGCCCTAAGGGCCTAACGAATAACTTTTTAATTTACAATATTGGATATGATTTAATTAAGAAAATAAAAACAATTGCTAAAGAACAATGCCTGCTCATTATATACATTATATATAATAAGAAAATTTTGAAAATCAAGAAATTGTAAGGAGATCAAACTCCTCTTTTATTTCCTCAACTATTTTTTCTTTATTTTTTTTTCTCTTTCTTTTTTTATTATTATTCTTTCCTCTATTACTTCTTATTCAAGAGTCCTTGTTAAATGCTATGCTCTTATAGTGATTTTGGTGATATTAATAAATTTAATAGTTAATTTGATATCTATTTTTGTATGTAATAGGAATTATATAGTGTTTTTAAATAATGGTATCTTTTTAAAGATTTCTTTTCTTTTTGTTTTATATATCGAATAGCTAATAAGGAGGTGTTGAAATGCCTTGATATTATTATATTTATATTTGTTATTAGTAAGTTTGAAGCAATGTAAGTAGGATTTGATAAATTTATGATCTAATTTGAGTTGAAAGAATGTGTTAGCAGTATTTCGAGTAGTTCTGCTTGGTAGTTTGATTTTCGAGCCAATTTTCTATGAAAATAGTTTCGAATAAGTTGATAGGGATTGGTTTGATCTGAGTTTGTATTGGTTGAGAGTATCAAGTTATTGATTTGAAATATATTTTTTGATAATCATACCTAGTAGTCCAAAGCTTGTTTTATTTGAGATGGATTATATTGTGGTTGCTTTTTTTACTAGTTTATCTATTAATTCATTTCCTTTAACTAAAATATATCCTGGGATTTAGTTTAAAGATATTTCAGTTTCTTTAGCTTTAATAACTTTTATTGTTTTGATTAATTTTATTTGATACACTTGTTCTAGGTGATTTAAAGGTATCTTTAAATGATATAAATCTGCTTAATTATCCGAGTAGATTTTGAATTTTTGATTAGTATAAGCAATTGAGCTAGTATATTTGATAGCTCTTGTAATTTCACAAAGCTCTTTATTGTATATTAATTGATTAATATTAATATTACTTTACTTTTAATATAAAATTCGATTATTTAACTGTATAGTTATTATACCTACTCTAATACCTACTCCCTTTTCGATAAAGGAAGCATCAGTGTAAATATAAGTGGTATCCTTATTTCTATAATTGAAAATAATATTGTAAAGAATAATAGCATCTTTTTTAATGAATTGCTAATGTTAATTCTGAAAGGAATTTCTCTTTTCCATAAGGGGAAATTAAAATGAATAATCTTTTCAAGTAAGAAGGAATTGAAATCCTTATTTATCGATTCTCTGATTCTATCCAATTGAATAGGCTTATATTGTTTTTTTAAAGGAGTGGAGATTGCTTTCAAATTAGTTTGATGTTAAGCTAATATACCTTTTTCGATATTGATTGAGTGGTTTGGTGTTAGTTTGGCTAAACAGAATGTGTATTATTTAATATTTGAATCTAATCGAATTTTTGCAGACTTTATACCTGCTTCTACTTCTATTAAAAGGATTGGGGCAGTTTTGAATATTCCTAATATCTTTCGAAGAACTAGGTTTTGAAGTGATTATATTATGTTCTTAAAATGGATTTGATCTCTTCACCAAATCACTAATCCGTAATCGGCTATACTGGTCACATATGCTATATATAGCTGTCTGAGAGCTTTAGAACTAAAGCCCTTTTCGATATTAACTAATCAAGCCATTCAATAGAAGACTCCTTTCACTTATATGATCCGAATATTAATATATTGATTGAATTTGAGACTCGGATTAAATCATATTTCCAACCATTTAATTAAAGATTGAGGTATAATTATTTCCGAATTAGGTAGTGTGATTAAATAGTTTTTTTCGTTAATCTGAATAATGAAAAGTGTATTAATTCTGTTTTTGCTAGGTCGAATTGAATAGTATTTCTTAAGCTGAATTTATAGATTTGTTTTGTAGCTTTTTCTAATGATTTAATATTCTTTTTTCATATAGATAAGTTGATAGTTATGTCAAAACGCGCACCGCGAAAGCTATGCGTATTGCGTCCCATATCCGATCAATAGCTTATACAGCCCACGGACTATCTGCAGCCTGCCTGCGAAAAGCGATCATTACCTGTATACTCCCCATCGCTCTCTTCGATTCCGAAATATAGTTTGATAAGCTATACAAACAATATCTAAATGTAAACTATATTCTGATCAGCACCAGGATTAAGAAATATATCAATCTAGTCAGTAAGACGATTCATAATACAATACAGGGAGCTTTATTTGTTTACAAAACGACCCCGACAACCATATTCCTTGTAAAAGCTAATCTCCCAATTGAAATTGTTATACTAAAGTAAGCCAAATTGAGATTTGCATTTCGACTTCAGATAATAAATATATAATACCTACTTATAAACCAATTAAAACTATATATCAGAAAAAAAAAATAAAGCATAAATACTCTAAAAGATTCTAATATAAAACTACAAAGAATGGAATAGGCGATCCCTGCTACCAAACATTCCAGATTCTTACAACCTCACTTTTCTCCCAAATATCACATTAATCTAACAAATAATATAAACAAAAAGAATATTGCAAAAGTATTTAAGAAATAATAGGATTTAATCCCCTAAGAAAACTATTCTGTATTTTTAAATAAATCTGAATAATATAACGAACACAATTATCGTATAGAGTACAGCTTTACAATCTATTGTAGCAAGTAATAGATCAATAGCGGCTACAGCTATATACACGAATAATCGCATGTTTTTGATACTAAGGCAATCAGTATATAACAGGGACTAGAACACCTCCTGAATATTATTGATCGCCCCTACCAGAAATGAATATAATTATGCATTGATAGCACCTTAGTAATCTAGGGAATGCGAAGAAACGTTGTTGCCTTTTCTCAATAGGTATACTATAAATGTTATTAAGCAATATAACATTACGATATTGTAATTAAGTGGTTCCCTAAGTATATTGAGATTGAGGATAATAAGGTAACTAATTGCCTTACTGATCAGAATATGGTTAGGCTGCTTGACTCTAGTTTATTCTGCCTCTCTATAGTCAATAGCTCCTGTTCTATTCTATATGCTAAATATTAGCACTTTGAGAATAGATAATAAAAGGAAAAAAGAGACTTGATTTCTAAAACATATAATATATGGAAACCAGTATATAATATTTTAAAGCTAAAAAGCTTTAAGCTTTTTTATAAGGTATTATACAGATTTATAGTAATATAGACCAAATATAATGACTTTACAGTCTATTATATTAAATTCAATCACAAAAATAGTACAAACATCTATATATATAGGATTGAGAAAAGCTTATTATATTTCTTTCAATATTTAATTAATAATCAGATATACAACAACTAACCACTTATACCAAATCGACTTCGATCTGAATAGAATATAATAGTATATATCAACCATATCCTGTAAATATAATATAGCTTTACTAACCTTCTTGCTAAATCCAGATTCTATATTAAAATATATTCAAATTATACGAAACTATACGAATTCCAACCTATTCCAATACTTCGAGAATAAACTTTCCACCCCAATCAACCTAAGATCCGTATCGACTAGCTATAAGCGCTTCGAGTACTTTCCCGATCGATAGCAATCGATCTGATTATTCGCTAATATCTGAATAATATACGAAACAAGGTTCTCTGAAACAAAATCACAAACCCTTAAACAAAACAGCTACAGGATTACTATAAGCAATACTGAGTAAAAAAACACTAGAGGCAACAAGCCCCTGATTAGCTAATATTATACTATTATGAGCAGCTGGAACGCTAGCGGTCTGTAGGCCCGCTCCTTAGTATATCTATTGATTGATTGATTTAATTAACGTCCACCTTCAGTCTATGACTATATAGGACGGCTAGGCCAAATGGTCTAGCGGATAACTTTTAAAGTACAAAATTAGGAATTTTAACAATAAAATAAGTGAAAACTAATACTGGGGACTCATTCCCGCTTACTATACAAAGTGCATATAGTAAGATATAGAGTAGAAAGAATTAAACCCTTTCTTCTCTATCTTTTCTCTCCTCCTCCTCCTTTTCTTTTCATTTCCAAAATGGCTTTCTCTCCTTTTCTTATTATCTTTTCTTCTTTTATAATTTCGTTTTGTATTTTGACTCTTAATAAATACCAAATTCGAGTAGCGATTTTGGTAATATTGATGAATTTGATTACTAGTTTGATATCTATTTTTGT